AGGGAGAAAGGAAGGAGAAGGGTGGCGACGAAGGTGAAGCCGGGCGCCATAGCCGGAGTTTACCGGAGGTGTTGACCAGGGTTGACCGGTGTCGACCGAGCGTCGACCGAGCATTGACCGAGCGTTGACCGAGCGTTGACCGAGCGTTGACCAGAGGTGTTGACCAGAGGTGTTGACCAGGGTTGACCGGGCGTAGACCGGGAGTTGATCGGGGGTTGACTGCAGCGTTGACTCAGCGTTGACTCAGCGTTGACCAAGGCCGTTGACCACAAGTTTGACCAAGCTGGAGTCGGTATATTCTCGCCAAGCCTTCAGCCTATCCCCTCACCCTATGGATGTGCACACACCCTGTGGAACTTGCTGAGTCAAGTCTGTCTGTCTCTTCTTTCTGCATTGAGTCTCTTCTGTTCAGGTGATAGGAACTCTGTGGATGAAGGATAGGGCCTTGTTGACCAAACCCACACGGGCTGAGTAGGGCTAAGGATTGTGTCTGACGACTCGACTGTCCCGGAGGACACGAACCCTCCCAAGGACCGGTACTGACCGGCGGGCTGGTCGGTGTTGCACGGCAGGCCCACAATCCGAGCTGTGGGCTGCACAACAGGCCGTCTAAGTGTTGAGAAGACCTGCTGATCGCGTCGTCCCGTCTGCGACGTTAAATAATTCCTGAGGAGTTATAGGGGATCTCCTTAAATGCCTCCTGATCAACAACATGTCTTGTAGTGACAGCCTTAGAGTAGGTCTAGGCTAGAGACCCTAGTTGACAGGATCCTATCCGGATTCTGTAAGTCCTTAGATTGAGTCAGTAGGTGAGTCAGTTAGGGGGAGTAGAGTCTAAGTGGTGAGGAGTGGAACTGCTGTCTGGTTGTGCACCTTCCACCATGGTTGACACCCGTACTGGGAAGAGTACTGCCCCCTCCGAGGTCGAGCAGGCCCGGATTGCCACCCTTTTGAAAGAGAGAAAGGAGAAGAAAAAGCTCCTTAAGCAGGCGAAGTTAAAGGCCATTGAGGAGGAGCCGGCGGCGAAGAAGAAGAGATTGGAGGAGGAGATGCTAATATTTCAAAAGGAGAAGATCATGATGTTAGAGAGAGAGAGGAGGAGGAAAGAAGAAGGGCTGCAGAGGAAGAAGCAGCAGCAGAGGAGGAGGAAGAAGAAGAAGAACCCCTTGAAAGAGGGCACAGGGAGCAGAGAAGCAAGACAAGTGGCACAAAGGAGGAAGACGGATGGAGGGAAAAGAAGATTAGTGAATGGGTGACTAATTTATCATTGGGAGAAGATGAAGAGGCACAGTTATATGTGCCGCAGGAGGAGAAGGAGGCGTTCGCCAGGGTCCTGGAGCTGATAGAGGATCCCCTGGAACGCCAGGCGACGGAAGATGAGAAGAAGTTGGAGTGGAAGTTGAAGATGATGAGGGAGAAGAAGAGGAGGAGGGAGGAAGCCAGCAGAATAGCCGGGAAGAAGCACATTGGCAATACTCTCCCAATCCATTTGTCAAAGAGCAAGTGATCAAATAGAAGGAAATATGTTCTTATTGATGTACCACTTAACAGGACCTTCCTCCTTTCACTTTTCCTACTCCTTTCTTCCCTGGCATTCCCCTTCGTTTTAGTCCTCATGCGTCCCTTTTCTTTCGCCGCACAGCCCTGGTCTTAGCAATCCACTCGTTGTCCCGCATGCGCGTCTCAAGGTCATGTGTGTTTGATTAAACCCCTGAGGGCACACGCTTGCTGCCCCGCGCATCAGCTTGCAAGCTGCGTGGGTGTGTGCTCACGGCTTGGCATACCTGGCCATAGCCTGCTGGCGTCTCATCGTCCAGCTGCGTCCCACGCCACTCAGTGCCCATGCGTAGATGCGGTTACAATGTTGCATCCTCAGTGACCTGCGGCCCCTCCTAACTATGCGGGCCTCATGCTGTGTGTGCGTCCAGGGCGCAACAACCCGCGACCCGGGCTCAACTGCCTGCTGCAGTTGCTCTTCTTGGAAGAACCCAAAGCGGAGCACAGGCTGTACTTAACCAAATTAGCCTGCAACAACTGTCTGACCCTCATATCGGAAAAATGCAGGGGTAGGGGTCCCTTGCGGACATTTCAGGCCTGCCTTCTCTTAGGGCGGCACGAGGCTTGCTGAGATCACATGCTACTAAAGCAATATTATCTGATAATAACAATAATGATAATAACAATAATAATAATAATAATAATAATAATAATAATAATATATGGAAGAGATATGACAAACTCCATACAACAATATCTCATTGAGAACCCGCAAAACTGTTTTCAGTCCCGAAAGGTAGTACTGCATTGGTATTCTAACAAAAGAGAATCGTCCCACTGAGCCCGGGGCCAGCGAGTGCACGCTCCTATATATTTGTTAGCGAGAACACCCCGAGTCTCTCCCCTATA